CTAGAAATGGGAGTGGAGTCGAAAGTGGTACGAAGCATGTGTCGCCGCATGTGCCTCAAACTTACGTACGCAGTACCTGTGCCTGCCAGTTCTACCGCCGGCAGCATAACTACTCAAAATAGTTCCGCCACTATTAGACGCGGCACCCGAGAGTTGTGACGCCATATGTCGTGATCACTGACTACCCGCTGCCTGAAAATGACCAGACTCACCAACACCGACTTTGATACCCATGTTTGTAGTACCAGCCAGCCAGCATGGTCACGTCTACAGCCCCTCCAAGTTCGTGGTCGATGTATGGCTCGTGATTATGAAGTATCTTTCCGTCTTGGACATCATAAGGCTTGGAAGTGTGAGTCTGTGGTAGATTACTACTCTTTCTGTGAGCCCTTTTATACTTTATTCACAGACATGTCGAACATTGCACGAATTTGCCTCATTACGACATGTCTGGCGCGACGTCCTCTTTCAGCATCGTTTTCTTGACCAGTGCTACCCCCATCTGCGTTCATGCACTGCGGAAGACATTCGTCACCAGCTGAAAACCGCTGCCCGACTAGACCACATATGGACACAGCCTAGCATTGTCCCTAAGCGTCTTTACACGTTCCCACTAGATTTCCCGGGTGTATTTCAAGGTCTCAAATTTCTTCCGGGTGGGACATGGCTAGTATTGCTCTTCCACTGTCGAAATCTCAACCCTGCTCGACATTCCAACTTGTGCTTAATGAAACCAAACGCGGGGCCGGGAGCTATATTTCCTGCTGCATCTACGACCTTTCAGAGCGAGATTTGCTGGCTCCCCTTCCTCGACCAAGACGGTCCATATAAATCGTCTCGCGGTGATGATCTCATGCTACTACGAACCAAGTGCAATGACGGGTGCGATATATCCTCAGGGGCCCAATTCCCCATACTCACCAACTCCGACTAGATCCAACACCTTCGCAATCATGCATTTAAATACAAAGATACCCTCAGTTACGATACCTCTCATTTTTCGCACAAACGTGTTTGTGCGGAATTATGCGGCAGCAGGAGACTATGTCGTATATGGCTGGATTACTTCCGACAGGAGGCATTTCCTTCGTATCATGCAGCTAAACGAGAATTACGACAGTTTTCGAAAGGATATGACTGTTGAAATTGACTGTCCAAAGGGACACGACGGCAAACTCCGCGTAAGTACGAAGATGAAAACAATATAACTGGAGAATACCGATGAATCTGTACAGATACGGTACGACTTGCGCCTGTCCGGTCGGGTTCCGTGCATCTTGCTCGTCAGCACGCGATTGATGACTGCGTATAATATTCCCTCCGCTGTACCCAACGACTTCGATGCAAACTCACCACCGTTGCTCACGCCATTCTGGCAGCTTCGTCCTGCTGCCGTGACCTTTGGACGCTTCGTCAAAATGTTTCATGAAGGAGCTATAGTAACTTTGTACGAAGGCCAGATTCGATTCATACGACCTGACCTCGATGCGTCGGAACCCAATTCCCACGTCGTTGAGAAGTATAATGTAAGCTTTGCTCTGCATCCTCGGATCCGTGGAGTAACTCACCTTTCATTGCAGTTTGAGCCCCCACGTCCACAAAGCTCACAGTGGCCGTGCTTATTCGCAGCGCAGCGCATATTCTGGCTTTCCTCCCTGCCCAACCAGAAAGGGACGACAGCTCCTTGGCAAATGGCTATCGAGACGACCGCAGTCCCAGAAGACGATCACCGTGAAGGTCGTGCACTTATGGACTTGCAGGAAACTCACACTCCAGCTCCATCTGCCACAACTCGAATAGTACAGGATTGGGATGAGCTTTCGGGGAGACTTTGTATTAGAAGTGTACAAAGCCGCTTTACGCAGTATCCGAGGTGTCGAAGGACTGTTTGGCGGGTTACATTGGTAGATTTTGTTTGAGAGAGTTATTGTACTATAGCGAGGAAATATTGTATATCAGTTAGCCAGTTTTTTGTATCAATTTACATACATCCATTAGAGACTGTAGTACTCTATGATTGAACTGCAGTCGTTCAACTAGTTTTGTATGCATAGGCGCAACATTGTAAATTTGCATCAAATGATCATCTTGAAGGAGCGCTTCCACTTCTGATTTTTCTCGTGCAGCGAATCATTCGCTTCTATGAAACGAGCCGCCGAGAGCCCCGACGACCCATTCAGACTCCATGCTTGTACCTCGTGTATATTCGCAGCATTAAATAGCTGGTAGATGCGAGGTCGCCAGGCGGGTAGAGTGGCAAAGAAATCCGTAATCCACACGCAGTATAGAGCACCTAGGGACTTGGTCACATTACAAAAAAACATGTCAAGACTCGAGGAGGTCCTCGTCCGCACGGAGGCGTGGTTTCCGCTTAGCTTCGTGCGGGTACTAGCTAATTCCAGTATTGGCTACCTATACCTTCCCTTTCAACTTCGAGCACCAAACTAGTACCGTATACAAGTCCACTGTTCGCTTGTTCCCTACAGAACACCCGAGTATTCGGACCGTTTTCGTGCTATACACTGCTAGCACCAGTCAACACCCTTACGAGCTCCGAGTCCTGGAAAGCAATCGAAGTCGTACAAGTTCCTGGTTCGGCATCAGCCGTGTACTTGGCGTTATATTTTCGAATGCTAAGAGTGAGACGTGGTCCCAGCACGAACAATTGCACAAACATGGCGATTTGAAGTGCGCCATAATAAATCTGAGCCCCCACGGAAGATGAGTTCTATAGACAAAATAGGAGTGATCAGATGCAAGATGACAATCACAGATCGGCATGCTCACTATTATGTTAGGAGACAGGCAACCAAGGCTGAAACAAGAAACAGCAGCAAAGCTAGCACATGTGGGACTTCAGCGAAAGAAGGTCAATCGCGTTAAGATTGGAAACTCACGCTGCAAAGTAAAGCACATGACTTTTCATTAACACCATGAAACAGTCCCCAATAGACCATTCTGTAGATGACCGCCGCATTTCATGGAAATGTTTTACAGCAATCCAGACTGCAAGACAGAGTGCGATGACCTCCCACACAATGCGGAGTATCCAAACCCCGGCCAACAGAAGTTCAAGTTGGGTTTCTCTCTTAACCTCGTAAACACACTGGTGGGTGCCGGAGAGCTCGTCTGGAATTCGTCCTATCAGCTTGATGGCTCAAGGTGTTCTATGGTAATTGAAGCATACCCCAAGAAAAATTGCGGATCGCCAATACGATCAGTAGTCCACAGGCGATTGTGAGGGTTGGGAAGATTGTGATGAGAAGAACGAGGATTTTTCTAGATCGCTGATACATGGCATATAATCGAGCAGCCACGATAACTTGCGAGATATCTCAGTCGAACATTAGCGGGTTTCACAACCGAGTAACTCACTGCCGAGTATGGTATTTATAACGAAATATATCCCCGCTCGTATCAGGAAAAACATGGTACCTGAAAAAAAATAGTTACTGAAGAGTCTCGGGGGACTAAACACTTTGGTCAAACTTACAGCTATTTCAGATGTTATATCGAATCCCCAAAATCCAGGAATCTCACTCACTCCTAAGTAGAGGTGTAGTCAGTTGGACGGGCATGGCAGGCAGGCGCTGGTACAGAATAATTACCACAACTGTCATCGAAACTCCCGGGAGACTCGCTGCTTGTTCCTATTCAGAAGAAATAACAAAAGAGTAAGGAAACATACGCAGTATGTTGTTGCTGATAGTGAGAGATGACTGATCAGTACAATGCCAACTTGTTGGCCTTGCGAACATACATAGAGTATAGTATTCCAACATAGCGCACCTAGAATATTCTCAAGTCAGTACGGACGGCTTGCCAAGTGCGCCGCAGCGCATATCATTAGCTACATACAGTGGTGTATAGAAGGGTCACGGGAGACCAGTGTCGTCTCTGCCCCGAATTAGCTGTCTCGTTCTGCTGTTAGTTTGCGATGAGAATTCTACTCACCCAGACCAGTTCAACCTATAAATCCATTCTTAGTAGTGAGATGGCTGCTTCGGTAACAACATCAACGGCATCAACCTACCTCTTGTCCGAATATCAGTGCTAAATGATACCGGGATATCAACGATCGCCTCGATAAATGCTGTGTTGCTCACCCCAATCATAGAGTATTGCAGTTGAAGATGCCACTGTAAAACCACAGTCAAAGATAGAGTCAGACGGCATCGGGCCTGCTCTTTCGACGAACCTAAAACATAGTTGGCAACTTGATACGTATCGTTGTCCGGCCAACCACCGAGTTCATTTGAGACTAGGGTCATATTCGAGGGATTTGTGTCAGAGTGGCGATTTCGGTGGAACACAACGATGAGTTGCTACATAATATATACCACCATCCAGCGCTTGTATCACCGAAATAGGCGGATGCACCCTTGATTGACTGTAGTAGGTATCATCGTATGAAATTAAGTACAGAAACTTAAAGTCACAAGTGGAAGCAAGTAGTACCGGCAGGGGCGATCGAAGTGATACTTATATGTGTATCCCACTGGCGGTGCTACTAGGCAGTGCGTCACGCGGAAAGCTGTAGAAAATCCAAACGCAACAAACTCACCTCTCCCACTGGGCCGCGGGTCCGGCCGTCAAAGATCCCTCTGTGACACCTCCAACTCAAGTCTCACACCCTCATAACGCGCCCTTGCCTGCTCCAAGTCCTTGGCTCATACTCACCGCCTCCAGGCCCGTGATGTACTGATAGTGCCATGCAAATGCAAAGAAACAAGGGTAAGTACAACTATATCAAAATCAAAAAACGCATGCATCCTCGGCCCGCTGCCCAGTGCCGGCACCGGTCATCACCGAATACGTACTGAGGGCCGAGCTATATACCCTTAACTATATACTACAAGTTATGCTATATGCATATAGGTCAGCTATGAGGCTAGCTATTAGTCTGGACAGCCTAAGGATCTAGATTTGCGTCACCGGGTCTTGTGGCAGATGTCGATGAATTCGCTTGCGTTCGGCAATCCAAGTGGAAACAAAACAAAAAGACTTCCCATTAGCCGACTTGAACGACTGACCTCGTCATTACTAGTGACGCGCTCTACCAACTGAGCTAAACGGGACTTAATGATTGCCAAGACCAGCACTTGTTGAACCTTAAAAGTTGCGTGGGAACTACGGATCAGGAACTTGGCACAGACGCACAACGTTGATCTCAGACCGTTGACCAGCGGCTATCCAGCAACGTTGAACGGACCCTTCTCTCACAATTTTAATATGGGGGCTTATTACGACGAGATCGAAATTGAAGATATGGCATGGGATGAGGTAAAAGGTGTCTACCACTATCCGTGCCCCTGCGGCGACCGCTTCGAGATCTCTCGCAAGCAGCTTGCCAACTGCGAGGATATCGCAACGTGTCCGAGCTGCAGTCTGATCATCAGAGTTGTCTACGATCCAGTACGTCATGCGAATCTTTTTCAGCGAGATGTACAAACAAGAGCGGCAGCTTGATTTTGAAGACGAACCTCCGGATGACGAGGGGTCTGCATCGGAGGAAAGTGAGGAGAGTGAGGAGGAAGATGACGATAGTGATGCCGATAAGTTCGAGGATGCTCTTGAGAAGCTTACTCTATCTGAGCCCTCGGCGGCGGCGGTTGCAGCAGCAGCATGAGAGGTTGATTTCCTCGCTTGTTCCGTGTCGATCATCGCTGCAGACGGCACTGGATAACATTCTATGGAACATTAAAATTATAATATTAATGCATGTACGTTGTTTAGTATCCATAAACTTAAGTGCTCATCTTCAGCTCTAGCGTGCCTATACTCTGTTGGACATAGGCCCTATCACGACTCGCTATCGATGTGAATCAGTTTCCTTCTCATCTTCTTAGGGAACAACTTGAAAGGTACGCTTATCCATTCCATCATTCTGATATCCGCCGCATTTGTCTTCAAATCAGTGAAATCACCCTACCGACTTATCAATAATTTTTTCAATCCGTTTAACTTCGCATTTTGCGATTGGGTAGATACAAGGCAGGCGCTTTAATCCGCAGCTTATGGGAGAGATGGCGGTCTCACCTCACCGCCTTTACAAATACGACCTGCGAGTCACTGATCTGAACTTGTGACTCAAACCGCGTTATGTTACAAGTCTCGATCAATAGAGGTGATTGTACCTGACGCTTCGACAATGTCAAGAGCACTTTGAATCTGTAAAAACATTCGAGCGTAGACAGAAAATCAATAATCATATGCACAATACACAACACTTAAGCTACGCGCGTAGGTCTCCTTCAACACCAACACCTCACCTCAAACCACCTTCACAGGTACAGATACAAGTGTCTGTTCCTTCCCAGCCTGCACGGGCATCGGCTCCGATACATGAAGGTAAAAGGTCCCATGAAAGGTGATAAAGACGAGGAGTGAATGGTGATGTCGTTTAGTTTCTAACCGAAGTCAACTTGTAGAAGTAGTCCCCGACCATATCACTATGCCCTTGTTTTCTACAAGGTTCCAACGTAGCATACTAACGCAGTTTTCAAACATGTTAACCTTTAAGCAAACCGGGATCTGTCGCGATCAGCATGGTCAATGTCAAATATTTTCAGGAGTGACTTCGCTGCGCCAGGGGTGAGTGTCGTTCGTTGTAAATCACTTCATGTGGATATCGTATGCGTGGCTACGACTGCCCGTGTAGTTTAGCTTACAAGTGGGCTGAGTAAAAGATGTAAACGTTTACTCACATGCCTGAGTGGGAAGTTACTATAGCAAGTGGATCCCGTGCATGGCAGAAAGTGAAGTCCCCCAAGACCCCATCGCCGACAGGGTGAGTCCAGAACCAGACACGGATGGCATTCGTGCAAAATAGATGTAGTCCGAGTCCATCCTACTGGAATTATTTGGAAGTCACTGGGGTCGATGATGCATTGTGGCCTATCTCCGAAAGTGTCGATCATTCAGTCAGGGTTTTAAGTATGTCTGTGGTAGGTGCGGCAGTGAGCAAAATGAGGTTAATACTTTGCACCTGTGCTAAGTTGTACGCGTGTTGAGAAGTGTTAGCCAAAAGGATACTGTGTGAAAGCTGCAGCATGTGCAGTTTAGCAGTACGGTAGGACCAGAAATAGTGCTTAGTCAAAAATACAAATAGAAGCAAAACACTGAACTCTGTGCTATTGCAATTTTCAACTTCACACCACCATGTACAGCTGTGCACCAACACGTACGTTCTCTTGGCCTACTAATGCTAATAGTTACTCCGCAGTTACAAACTTCCGATATACCTCCTCCGCCTTGGCTCAGCACACGCCTTTCCTGGCAACTGCGAAGATGTACAATATTCTTGAAATCTGCGCTTCTACTTATCACATCATCATGACATATACACGCCGCACTGGAGCCCCAGTGGCCAGCCCCCGACTCGTTTTCGCTAAATGCTGAAGTGCGAGGATCTTTGAATCATAGTCACTGTTCAATGATCATCGGACTTCCGCCCGTGTCTAAGTACTACTGTCTATATGGATTGTCTAATCTGAATCTGTAACAAAGTCCAACCATACTCCGAAAAATCAATAACAAGATTAAAGCAATCATGTGCTCAATGCATACCACCTAAGCTGCGCTCGTAGCACGGCACCTCCTCCTTCAACACCAACAACACCAACACCTCGCATCAGCTCCACGGACACATGCGTTTGTTCCTTCCGGATGCCCATAAACGTCAACTCCCACTCATCACCGCAGGATCAGGGTCGTTTTCGCCATGGACCACGCTCCGCCTTGGATCAACAACAGCCGTTCTTATCAGGCCTTCTTTGTTTCAAGAGTCGACCGTTGGCTCGGCCCGGGAGAATGTCTGTCTGCAAATTCTCACCATATAGACCCCGCCAGAATCGACGTGTTAGTCGTCCGACTCGGCGGACATACGGTCATAATCAGGTTCGTGCATATAAATACCTAAGTACCGTACTTGCTGTCATTGTCAGTTCTCCCAGCTCAGGATGGTAGCCAAATCTGAGCTTCGAACGGTTCATACGGAAGGGGCCGCCTTCCAGGAGGACAAAGAGGGCTTAGAGACATTGGAAGCATGTCGAGTCTTCAAGGATTGGGACCCTCCCTCGAGCCTGCATGACTCGGAGTTTCCCGAAGGTGGTCTGGCAGCTTGGGTCACTGCTTTTGGAGCGTAAGAGGACTCGAACTCTTTGGGCTGGCCCTTACTTGGTCCACACAGGTTTCTGGTACAGTTTTGTGGGTTTGGGTGAGTCTGGTGCGGGTGTTGGCAGGAAGACTCTGGCTGACGCAGGTTAACAGGTATGCCGCTTCATTTGGTGTCTATCAAGGTATTGCTACAGACGAAAACGAACATGGAATATTCAATATATTGTTCTCCAGACTTTTATACCCAACATTACCTGACAAATGAGACGTCATCTGCTATATCGTGAGTTTCTGCTTGCGTGTTCATGGCGGGTATCCTCAAGGCTTGTAGATGGATTGGGAGCACAAGCGCATTTTTACTCATGACCGTGGGCCTCGTGTCAGGTTCACTGCACGATCGAGGATATTTGTGAGTGTAGATATGTCGGAGGTTCTCGATGATACTCAGCAAGCTTAACTAGTTACTATCTCATAATTGTCGGATCATCTCTGCAGAGTTTCTGTCTATTTATGTTGTCTTGGTCGAAACCCGATCAGTACTACCAGGTAACCTCTCCCGATTCAAAATATCGTTTTCTGACTCAGTTTTAGATATTCTTCTCGCAAGGCTTGGGCTTGGGTATCGCATTTGGGCTGCTGTATATCCCTAGCATGGCTGTAATCTCGCATCATTTCCGGCAGAGGCGCACACTAGTTATGACGTTTGTCGCTACGGGCTCATCGCTAGGTGCCATCATCCATCCGATCATGCTCAATCATCTCGTCAACGGTCCTCTTGGCTTCGCTAAAGGCGTCCGTGCAAGCGCGGGGTTGATCAGCTCACTTCTCTTGACTGCATGTCTGTGCATGCGAACTCGCCTTGATCCGCCAGCGACACCAGTAAACTATATTGTGGTAGCTAGAAAATGTATTTGCGACGTACCATTCATTCTCATGATAGCGGGGTGAGACCTACTATGCACCTTCTCTCGAATTCCTCCAACTAACCATCCTGCAGGGGCTTTCTTTTCCAGATCAGCTTCTACTACCCATTATTCTTTTTTCAACTCGACTCTATCAAGCACGGTATCAGTGTCAACTTCTCATTTTACTCTGTGGGTTCCAGCACTGCGCAGGTGATTGGTCTACTGACGGGAATCTCCAGCTAGCGATTCTAAATGGGTCCAATTTTATAGGGCGGCTCACGTCGGGATTCATTGAGGCATTCACGGGTGTTCTGAACTTGACTATAATGGCGTCAATTTCGTGCGGTGCGCTCATTTTGGGCATGATTGGGTTGAGTAGCTTGGCCAGCGTCGTTGTGCTTGGTGTGCTTTATGGCTATTTTTCGGGGCTGAGTAAGTAATTTGTCCCGCTATCATTGGTGTGAAAGTTTCAGATCCGGGTTCATCATTGCATGCAGACACTGCGATGGCGGCTCCACTCGTGGCTACTTTAACGCCCGACCTCTCTGAGCTTGGGCAAGTGATCATTTATGTCTGAACGTACGAACCATCTTATTTGGATCATAGCGCGCGGATGGGCATCTGTCTCTTCACTCTTGGTAAATATTATCATTACTGTTCCCTCCATATTATTCAAACTTGTCGCGATCGCTATATAGGATTCGGAGGTTTGATTGGTGAGTGCAATGGTGTCGTTTCTCGCTTCAAATTCCAACCCTTTATCCAGGCACACCCATATCCGGCGCTCTGCTAACATCTAGTTATACCTGGTGGATACCGACTCTGTTCTCTGGGGTGAGTCGCTCCTATTTTCTCCAGAATTCGCGTCGAGTCCAATTGACTGCATAACAGATTGTTTCACTGGCTGGTAGCATGATGTTTATCATCATACGATATATATTGCTCAGAAGGCAGCGCGTTGATGTATTACCATTGGACAGCCAGGCTGTTACTAAGTTGACTCCTGAGTGAAGCTGTTATCATATTTCTGTCGTCCACATTTTTGTTGTTCTAGTCGTTAAATCCTTTGTATACGGATACTGGTGAGTTGACTGGAAGGCTAACTCGTCTAAGTTTTCAACTTGGCATCGTGCACTCGGAGTCCGCCTGTCTGATGCCATTCATGTGCATGAACAAAGGCCTAGTACTGTCATTCCTCATATAAACAGTGCCACTCCGCTGACAATATAATCCCCTTTGTATCACTTTGATGAGCCACTCGTCTACATATAAATTTCCGTACCACTGGGCCAACTACTTACTCATCATTCCCCGTCGAACTCGTATTAGTATTCGCACTAGTTCTTGTTGCGCAGCCGCGATTAGACTATATACGTTACACTACCTCTACGAGCCGCACAGGAACATCAATCTCCTAGTCATATTCGATGTGCTGAAGTGGAAGGTACATTGGCCATATTGAAAATATGATATTATGGCCAATATTCCTTCCACTTCAGCCTAGTGCTGTTTATGCATTACCGTAGCACATCTGATTTGAATCTGAGAAAACACTCAAGCATAGTCCAAAAAATTCAATAACAAGATTAAAGTGATTATATGCACGATACAAAACACCTACGCTACGCGCGCACATCTCCTCTAACACCAGCACCAACACCTCACCTCAAACCACCCTCACAGGATCAGGCGCAGA